TAATAGCCTTAAAAAAATATTATGTAAGCGATTATAAGATAGTATTGTATTCAACTTATATTTAACAGTAGTGCCATGACCTTTTACATTAAAATAATTTATATTTATTTAGGTACTATTTACTTTTAAATTCAATGATTTATTTTAAAAGCTCTTAACAATTTAGTTAAAACTTTATTAGGTACGTACTTATTTGTGTTCATAAATTTATAATCACCTATGATTTAAAACAATTTAAGTTACGGATTGGTTTACCAAATAAGTTTGCGGATATTATAAATATGAGGTGATTATTCGTAGTTAACTAGTTATTGCTAATTAATACTATATTATATTATGAAAACATTTATTTCTAGTTTGTTTAAGTACATTTATAACAGCCTATGATTAAAAAAAAAATTTAAAGTTACGGATTGGTTTACCAAATAAAATATATGCGGACAAATTTTAATATGAGGAAACTAGTTATGCTTTGTAATTATTGTTAAATTATATATTTTTAAGAACTGTTTTTGAATTAATTAATTATATATATATTTGTTTATTTTTGCTGAATTTGCTATTACCTATGATTTAAAAAAATTTAAAGTTACGGATTGGTTTACCAAATAAAATATATGCGGACAAATTTTAATATGAGGAAACTAGTTATGCTTATGCTTTGTAATTATTTTTAAGAACTGATTTTGAATTAATTAATTATTTATATATTTGTTTGTTTTTGCTGAATTTACTATTACCTATGATTTAAAAAAGTTTAAAGTTACGGATTGGTTTACCAAATAAAATATATGCGGATAAATTTTAATATGAGGAAAATAGTTATGCTTATGTTTTGTAATTATTATTAAGTTATATATTTTTATGAACTAATTTTAAATAAGTTAATTATATACTATAAATGTATATATATTTGTTTATTTTTGCTGAATTTACTATTACCTATGATTTTAAACAATTTAAAGTTACGGATTGGTTTACCAAATAAAATATATGCGGACAAATTTTAATATGAGGAAACTAGTTATGCTTATGCTTTGTAATTATTTTTAAGAACTGATTTTGAATTAATTAATTATTTATATATTTGTTTGTTTTTGCTGAATTTACTATTACCTATGATTTTAAAAATTTAAAGTTACGGATTGGTTTACCAAGGAAAACTGCGGACAATATTAGTATGAGGGATATTTTGCAATAAGTTGATTTTACTAAGAAATAAATTTATTTGAACATAAACTTTAATATGTTGTTTGTTATTTATAAGTGTAAGATTGTTATGGCTTAAAAATATTTAAGTTATGGATTGATTTACTAAGATATATTTGTGGATTACATAAAACATTACTACGAGGAAATATATAAATAGTTACTAGTTGATCAAAAATTTTTTGAACTTTTTAAGTAGGTACATGAAATTATTTTGTTAAGTTTTTTTTTATACAAATTTAAAATTTAAGATCATTAATAATTTTAAAATTTTTAAAGTTTTCGATTGGTTGTTTACGTAGGAAAGCATGTCGACAATCTTTATATGAGTAAATTATGTTTGACCTATTGTTTAAGTATTTAATTATTGTTTAGACAACCCTACGGTTAAAAAATAATCTTGAATTTAATATTATATTATATTTTCCTATTTAAACGCAATTTTTCTTTAAATTTCTAACGCTATTGTTTAAACCTATTTAATACTTATTTTTGTTCATAAATTTATGATTTAAAACAATTGAAGTTACGGATTTGTTTATCAAATAAATTATGTGGAAAAAATTAGAACAGGTAGTTTTTTTTTTTAATTTTTCAATCGCATTCGTAAATAATTTTTTTGCTCAGTTATTCAGTCATTTGGTTATTATAAATCTCACAATTTGTTAATTTTTTTTTTTTTACATAAATTTATTATTTAAAATATAGCTACGGATTGGTTTACCAAAATATATTTGTGGATAACGTTTATATAAGGAAATACCTAACTAGTTATTAGTGGATAAGGAGTTTTTGCTAAGTACCTAATTTGTTAGTTTTTTTAATATTTAAGTACATAAAATTATTAATGTTTCTGATGATTTTAAAATCATTAAAATAACGAATTGATGTCTATACTATGGACTATGGAAAACACTTAGACGAAATTAATAAGCCGGGTTTAAACTTATTTTATTAAATTATATTATTGTTAATAAGATGCCTATTTTTAGGTTCTGAACGGAGCGTGTTTTTTTATGTTCTCTCATCACTTTAAAGTAGTAAAAATTAAATAATTTATGTATGTATTTTATGTTATTAAAAAATATAAAAAATTGAGAATTAATTTTCAAATTAATGTAATGTTGATATAATTGTTTAATTAGATACCTAGATAGTTATTATTATAGAGTATTATAGATATTATGTTCAATATATTTAACATAATATTATGTTATATTAGGTGCTTATACTTGAATATTTAATATTAATTTAATAATTTCTTCATTTTAATTCGAGTTAATTTTTAATATCAAGGTTAGATAATATTTAATAACTTGTTCATATTCTGGAATATTTACTATCTCTATATAACTCATATAATTGAAAATAATAAGATACTAAAATATTGATTTATTTAATATTATAGTATTTTTGTTTCTATTTTCTTAATTGATTTTTTTTTGTTGAATTGTATGTATTATTATTTGCGAGTTTAATTGATAATATTATATATTTTAATTAAATCTAAATAACTTTGTATCATGTATTATAACAAAAACAATATTTATGAGTATTAAATGAAAAATAATAATTGTAACATACGTTTGTGTATAGTGTTATTTTTATTTTTTTTTATGTTATCTATTGAATTTAATAATAGAAAGTATACATATATATATATATCTAGTTAAGTGTGTATTATCAAAAACTTGACAGTTACTAACTATTTTAATCGATTATTAATAATAATGGTATTTTATAATATTCTAATGTGATTCGCGAGAGTTTCAAATTGATGAATGATGTATTAAATTTTGTATGTTAGTATATTTCTATGTGCTTTATTACTTAATAATGTATTAAAAACATATTTATTTTATATATCATATAAATATTTATGTAGTTGCTTGGTGGCTGTGATATGTGTGAAGAGACTGCGAAATTTAATAATAAACAGACGTTTTCGCTGCCGAAGTTTACGTGATGATGTAATCTCACGGCCGGTTGCCGTGTTACCACGCCAAGCGACGCTGCATGGACGACGCTCCTCGGCCGGAGGGTCGAAGTTGCGAGTGTTTTGGGGTGATCATCGCATGTCGGCGTGTAAAGGGAATGACTTCGTATTTCACCGTTTATTTCTGTTTCGTTTAGGGTAACCCTCCTCTTCATTCACATTTTTTTGTAACCGTGTCTGAGGAGGGGGTTGATATCGCGATATATTTTTAGAATTTTTATGATTTCGTCGTCGTCACTTTTTCTGTTCTTGTTCACTGAGTATGCATCATGCACGTTGTCGTTGTTATTATGAAACTTCAGATAAAAGTGCAAGATGAAAAAAGATCATGAAACTCAACGCTACTCTCACTAGCACACAATATCGTAAATTCGTAACGTTGTGTTTCGTGTAGGAGTCTCGGTGCATGTTCTCTTGCGCGTGCGCACTGTATGTGTACATGTCCAAACTAGTAGCGGCGTTGGAAACCTTGATGCGGGCATTGTCCTCTATCGTCAAGGTCACCTTAGCTCTTCCAGAGTCCCCCGCCCAGGTCACTTCCGATCGTCCTTTTCTCTGGTGTACACTCCACACGGTATTTCAGACACGCGTGCGCGCGCTGTACATATTACCGTCATAACATGTGCGGTGGTGGCTGATCGTTTGTTTCGTGTTTTGATTGCTTTAGGGCTTGTTGGTCTGGCGGTCCCTGTGAGGTTCCATGCGTCGTGGTGGCAGCGTCATCTGTTGCAAAACCGGTTAGATCATTATTATATTGTGTGGAAGTTGGCATCGGTGTTGTTAACGGTGGTGAAGTTCGGTCGATTTGCACACCGCTGTCAGTCACTACGTCCTAACCCACCATCCACCATTAACATCGTCAATTTAAATAACTCTTATTTTTTTCTTGAAGTCAACGGTGGCGTTGTTATATATTAAACTGGATTGATGTTCCGATGACTATTCTTTTGAGATTGAATTTCCGCTAAATACTGGGACCCTTGAATATGTTTGTGGCTTTAAATAATCATTATGATGTGTTATTATTTAAATTGTCATATATTTCAGGGATCTCCAATATTTTTTCAAAGTGTGCCGTATAGGAGATATATTTTGTCACCACTGGTAAAAATCATCTGGAAGAGGTAGAAATGTAATGGTATTAAAAAGAGTAGAGTCGAAATTTTACAAAGAAAATTTTTTTTTCGTTGATAAATATATAGATATAACAATATAACAAGAATCTTGGAGATCAAGATTTCATTATTTTATTAAAGATAGAATAATTAAAATTGTTAACTTTTTTACACTTTATTATTTAAATGTAGGTATTGAATGATTAGATTATAGAATGTTAATTTGAAATATATTTGGACAGGTTACAAAAACTGGACATGACGTGGTCACTCATTATATTTCCAAGAATTATTGATTGTTATAATATTAAATTCAGAAATGTTAATTAATCATTATATTCAAGTAGATTTATATAAAGCCCTGTTAAAACCGCAGTTGCTAATATTTTTTTTTATTTGTCAGTAATTTTTATTAGAAAAAACTGTTGATAAAATCAAAAATCATTTTTTTAGTTTGCTAAATTTTTATTGTAGTTACCTATCTCATAAAACGATACAGTATCTTTTAGGGGTCTCAAAAACAATTCTAAAGTAAAATTGAATTTTTAAAAGTACTCTTTGGTATTAAATATTTTCAAAATGTAAATAAAAAGTAATATTGTTGTTAATTTTCCTCATTATATTATGATTATGATATTTTATTATATTTTATTTAAAAATTGATTAAATTATGTTTGTAGATTGCATCCTCAACAAAAAAGTTATGGGGAGTTGAAGAAGGCAAAGAAGATGGACCTAAAGGCATACTTAATTTAAATGATCATCATCACCAAATGTGGAGAGATTCTACTTGGAGTTCTAATAGTAAGTCTTTGATTTTTAAATAGAAAATTGTAATAATTACCATATACTTAACTTAAAATAAATCCTTGTTTTTTTATCAAATATTTAAGTGTTCTATGAATATTTATAATGAACTTGGATATTACAATTATACATTTTGTCATAGGTTTTATCTAATATTAATTCTAGTGTAATATTAGAAATTAAACTTTAAATGTCAATGCTTTCAAAGAAGTTGACTGAATGACTATATCTAGTAGTCAAAGAAATTATGAATCCAAATCATACCTTTTATATTTATCATTAGTTACCATAAATAAGTAAATTAATATTTGACCATGTGTTTTTTTAATGTATGTATTTTATTGATTAATTTTCAATATTAAGAGTCTGTATCTAATGAAAGTAATTAATAACATACTTGTCATCCCTATATTTTTATTAGACTTTTATTTAAATATTCACTAAGTTAGCCTTTAAGTATGGATGAAAATCTATTGTTGCTTAACATATTGACTGCCACTTGACTGCCAGTCGTCATTCAATACGCCAAGCATATTTTTCAATGTTTTTCAAATTTGTGTATATTGTATATTTGAAAAAAAAAATTATTACTTATATCAAAAAAAATTGTAACAATTCCGGCTACGTCATAGTCCTTTTTTTAGTGAATTATTGTAGCACCATAGAAAGGTTAATAATATAATAGTAAATTCATTTATGGTTGCTGACATTCATGTGGTGTGGTAGAAATGTTAAACTATGGGCACAGGCGGTCACAAATATATTAAATTTGTGAATTACAGATGACTGACGGTGGTTATATGGCAGTCAATTTGTTAGTAGGAAGTTAAAAGATAAAATTAAAATGATTATCAGGTTTCAAACTTTTTTGTTTTTTTTTTTAATTGAACAGTTACATTATATTATTTGTTGGCTTAGCATCTAATTACCTATATCAATATTTAAATAGATAGTTGTTTTTAATTATTTTAAATATTATGTTTAAATTTATTAATATATCTAATTGTTATTTCATAAAATATTTTGTTTCTATTACTAGTAATAAGAATGTGTACTTCCGTAAGTCACTGCATTTGTTCACCAATAACATTTGGAATGATGTATAACAATATAGTTATGATAATAGCATATAAAATTTATACAACTTAAACGAACTTCAATGGCATTACCCACATTGTTTTTACTGCACCATTGCAGTAGGTAAATTAAAGATAAAACTAAAAAAAACTAGTCTTCAAGTTAATAATTTTTATTTTCATTATTACATCAAGAATTGTGCTGTTTACAAGAACCGGTTTTTTATCTTTTATACATTTTTAGTTCACAATACATATTATTGTGTATTTGTATAGAGTAATGAGATATTCTAATATTTATGTAATTTTAATTTATATATAACAAAATGTGTGTTTAAAAATTTAAAATATAAATTTATGTATAGTAAAAACAATTAAAAATTCATAAATTAAAATTTTGAAAAAAATGACTTGCCACACATAAATATAATTAAAATAAATTGGAGCAAATTGTGATGTGTATATCCCTCTATCCTCCTCGTTCATAGAAAAATTACTTATATCTTTAAACTAAATAAATATTTCATGCTAAATTCTTTCTTTATTTTTTTTTTGTATAGCAAGGAGAGGGGCTGGTTTTCCAGTGGGTAATGATGCTGGCAATATATTATCCCCAAGATCATCAGAGGCTGGAATTGGTATGAAGATGGTTGAATATGTTTTAGCCAGTACACCAAATAAAATGGAGCCCCTAGAGCCTAGAATGAGAAATTTAGTTATTGTATGTATATTTCAATATGGTACACCAATATTAAGTTTTAATGTTTTATTTTTTTTTTTTAGAGTTCTAATGATGGTGAAACTATAAAAAAAGAAAAAGAAAAACCCCCTGGTTCTCCCTATGATTCTGTAAATAGTAATAAAAAAGAAATGGAAAATGGAAATTGTTCAACTGTTGTTCAACAAAATGGGATGGTAGTTGTTCAAAATGGCTTAGATGAAGATAAATATATCAAGTTAGTGTTGTTGGTTCATTTTGTTTAACTAAGTACCAAATTATTTTGATAATATTAAATTGTATATGATTCCCTTTATTTTAATATTAAGTATTATTTATTTTTGATAAGTTATTAATAGTAAATTAATTTGGTTCTATATTTTAAATTAATGATTTAATTAGTTTAAACTATTTTTATTTTTACATTCTGTGATTTTGCTTTCAAATTTTTAGTTAATGTTAATACTTTGTTTATTTTGATTCTATTTTTTATAAACAAATAACTACTGTTTCCAGACAAAATTTGTGTGTGGTAGCAAAACTTAGATCAAGTTGGTCGCTTATTTGTTATATACTGTTAAAATGTATATATTTTTCATTCCAGTTATACTTTATAATTATCTTTTTCATTTTTTACTTGAACTTTATGTTTTTCATAATTATTGAATTGAAATAGTCTTTTTATATTAAACATATCTTTAATTTTTACATTTAAAACAATTAGTTAAATTTCTATATTATTGTAGTTAGGTTAGATATACCTAACCTAAGCCAATATGGCTAGTTAAAGAATTAATCCAAAAGTCGGGACCAATTTTTTTTACTGTTTAGAATACATTTTGAAAATACAAAATTATTTGATTCACAAATTAAAATATAAAATAATTAACTAAAAACTATGTTAAAATATATAATAAATTATTATTTCTTTTATCTTTTATATAATTACCAATTGTCAAGTACAAAAGGTCAAAGTTCAAAAAAAGAAAAAAAAGGAGATCCACTATTTTGGTTAAGCCATATGAATCTGATTCATTTCATGTTCTGTTTGTCTAAAATGTATCTATTATACAATTACACATTTAAGCTATAATCAATTTTATTACCATGATTATTAAATAGAGTTATACATTTTTCTCATCAATGTCATTAAATTAATGATAAGTATTATAAACTGAATTTTTCACTGCCTGTATACTAAGAAAGGTTTTGTTAAGTTAGTTTGTTATTATAGAGATTGTTATAATAAATGAAGATTAAACAATTATTTTTATGGATATAAATAGTGGTTTAAATCTTTATATTGAAGAATAATATTAATAAATTATTGGTTTAAGAAATAATTTAATAAAAATATCGTAAAAAAAAGTAAATCCAATCTTTTGTTATTTTAATTTTGTGAATTGAATAATTTGAAAATTTTAGATTTTTTATCTTCATCAAAAAATATGTTGAAACTTTTTTTACATCTGCTAAAAAAAATGTATCTAGAATTTTTGACTGAATACCTGTTAAGATACAACTAAGTATTGTGTATATTATATAACATTTTATTTTGTAGTAAATATTTAATTTATTTTTGAGTTTGTTAGTTGTATAAATATGTATGTTTAAATTATATTATTGTTTACTAGTATTTTATAATAAATAATAGTTTAAGTGCACTTTAGTATGCTAAAAAATGACTGAGAATTATGATTGACAAATACAAATAATGTAAGTAGGCAATAAAATATAAACTGTCTATTAGCAGTAAATTTTTTAGTATTAATTAATTTTATATTTTTTATTATTTTTGATATTGTTAAAGTTTTAAATATATTTTTTGTTTGAATTATCTCTTCCCAACTTAAATGTATGTTAATTAATTCTTAATTTTTATTTTTTTACTAATATGTAATTTGATTTATAATTTATTTTTTATTTATTCAATATTCTTAAGTTGTACTTCCTATCACCATTAATGAATGGTTTTATTAGTTAATATTCTGGTAAAAATCATCTTAAATTTCATTTTAAATAAGAATTAAGATTGTGTCCTAGTGTAAGTTTTGTTTTTATATATACATTCTTCAATCAAATACTTTTATTATATTTATTTTGATTCTTTAAAATTAATTTTGATAATAAAAATAGGTTTTTTAATATTATCATTAATATGTTATTCTTATGATCTTATTAACTAATTGTAATATTTATATGTAAAATAATGATAAAAATATAGGTTAAATGTTATAAAGTGTTGTTACATCAACATAAAAACATGTCAGTTCATTTTGTTTTCTCATACCAACAGATAGTGTAGCAAACTGAACAGACACCATGTAATTAGTTTTAAATTAATTGTATCTATCATCAAACTTAATGTTAAGAATATCTGTATTTTTCCATGAGATTTTTACAATAATAAAAAATTTTACTTTTAAGTTTTAACTTAAACCTTTAATTTTAAAATAAGATATGAGCATTTTAAATTATAACAATTTACATATTCATAACTCGCATATAGATTGAAATATTTAAAAAGCAAATATTAAAACACAGATTATTCTAAATTTAAAATTTGAAAGCAAAGGTCAATATAATCTAATACTTTGGTTAATAAGATTTAGGTTAGTTCTTCTGCAGATTTTTTTTGTTATGCATAGGTAAGAAATAGAAAACATACGCCAACATCTTTTTAGTATATTACAATAAATATTTATATTTTTATTATTTTTTATGGTTCTTATGTAATTTTTCAGTATTGAGTTTATTTTTTACTATTTTATTTTTTTAATTTATATAAAACATGTTTATTATTTGTATCATGAATTTGATTTCTGATTCATATTAGTTTTGCTATGGCCACCTATACTGGTTAATTTTTTTTTTTATTAAAAAATACTTATTATTTCTAAATTAAAAAAAATTTATATCTTTTTATTGTATGTTTTTTTTTATATATTTTTTACTGATAATTAAAATTTCAATTTATTATTTCAAAGTAGAATATTTATTGATGTACTTTGCTGTATAAAAATCAAATTTTGGACTAGTAGTAAGTGGGATGGCATTACAGTATTTTACTAAATATTAGTACTTCATTTGACTCATCTACATTGAATACTTTTAACTAATTAACCACTATGATTTAATTTTTGTATACTAAAATATTCTTTTTAATATTCTGCTTTGAAACTAGAAATATAAAATATATTTTGTTATTCAATAAAGAAAATCTTAAAAAAAACTTATAGATAAAATAATTGTACACTGTATATTTTTTTTTTTTAAATATTGTTTAGTTTTTGTATGGACTTTTGTTTAACTATATTTTAAAAGGTTTATATTTTGTTTAATAATGAGTTACATTAGTAATTGATTACTTGGTATATGAAATTATAAACTATAACTCATCAATAGTTTCAATATAAAATTTTTACAGATATTTTAAATAAATAAATATTATTAATAGGGCTTGGAAGTTGATGCATTTTGCATTTTTTTTTTTTGGAACTTTTTAGACGATGCTCTCCTGGCCACAAATCTGTTTCATAAGCATGTGAATCTAAATAACTAATTTTTATTTTGCATTTTTGCATTTTTTGGTGTTTTTAGGTTATTTTCCCACATTTTTAGTTATTTTTACTGATTTCACACTAGTTCATTTCTTATCGTTTCTTGTTGACCATTATGCCGATAACTTAAACCACAGACATTTATAAAACAAATATTTTTAATTTTTTAATTTTCCTATTTTAAGGACATTTTTGTCATTTTTATGTCATATTTTGAATTTTATAGTAAAATAAAGTAAAATATTTAAAAAAAATGTATTTTTATTAATATAAAATTAATATTTGTAATTTTTTTAGGACATTGTTTGCCATTTTTATGGCCATTTTTTATTGTTTTTAAGGTCATCAACTTCCGAGTCCTAATTATTAATTTATGCTACGTACAAATTAAGATATTTGTAATTTTAATTGATATTAGTTATGATTACATAAACTATAATTTATTAAATCATTTTTATGTGTATGTTCTCATAAATGTATTAATTTTTTATTATTGAATAAATATACTTAAATAATTAATGTATAATAAGAAAATAAGAAATTAAGATTCCCATTCACTATTACATAAAAGTTTTATAAAGTTTTTATAATGTTTTAGTCGTCAAGCATCACCTTGTGAAGAGGAAATCAACAAAAATGCAATGAATGCAGTTTCAAGTAATCAAGTAGCTAATGCTAATTCCAATAACGTAGTGGTGATTGACAGTTTGCATGGTGCACTACACCAAGGGCAACTGATGAATCACCATCACCATGGAATGACTATGCCTTTACATCAACAATTTCAAGTACAAGGCGATCCACAACAATTGGATCTCAATTCATACCATGCCAACAATGCTCAACAACAGCAAGGCGCTATTGATTCCCAGGGAAATGTTATGACTCCATTTGATATACAGGTATGTTTTACATTAAATTTGTATAAACACATTTTTAAATCGATATATTGTTAAGAAAATACCTTACCTACGTATGTATTGTAATTGTCTTACTACTATTATACAACATAATATGTTTGCATTCAGCAGAAACCATAGTATGTTCAATATTGTTAGTTTTAATTTTGGAGTCAATTTATCTATTTTACTTTTTAGTGGTTAGAATATTATTTAGGGCATCTCATAGGATCATATTAATATTATAGTTTTTAAGCAAGTAATGAACATTTCAAAATACATTGCTATACATTATTCATTTAATAATGTAAATACCAATAAAACCCTATGAGATTCTCTGTATAATATTCTTACCTTTAAATTTGATAAAAGATAAATTAACTAATATTAAAGCTATTAATATAAATTGATTCTATTTAAAGTAAGATAGAAACAATACATGTAGATAAAAGTGTCTTATAATATAATAATATTTTATTAAGATAGTTATTTAAAAAAAACTCCATTTGTGTTATTATAGTGTTTGTTCAAAAATGTATTTCATATATTTTTAATTATTTAAAGTTTATTCATTAAATAATTAAATTAAATATTTTGAATAATTATCAGTTGATTCAAAATAATTCAAAACTTAATAGGTTATTTACACAAGTAATAATATGATATTTATTTACAAATAGAATATTAATTTCAAAAAAATTGAATTCTTATTTATTTATTTAATTATAACATAGTAAATTTTATCTAAGTTTAACTTGATTGTCATTCATATTATTTATGAAATAACAACAAATTTTAAAAAAAATTCCATAGAAGCGTTTAGATCTATGTATATTCATTCAAGGAATTTTCTGTGAATGATAGGTGAATGATGTGTGATTTACATTGATACATCATCGAGGCTTAATCTTTTGAATGTATTTCAGGGAACTGGAAGTGATAAAACTATTTTGTGTACTACCTATACATTAATCATTTTATTTTAATTTTGTTGCATCACACTTAGAAATTTACGGTATACAATGATATGTGTTAGTGTACAGTGACTTGGAAATGGTTCAATTTACAGTTTTTGAAAATCATAGAGTATAATAATAGTTTTTTTAAATTGATCAACTTCAAATATCGCGCTTACTATCTTGCGAGTATGATGTAAGTTATAGAGAATAATCTGTCATAGTTGATATACGCTGATAACAATGGTATTAGTGTTTACTACCTAGTAATTTTATGATACTGGTTTTGGTAGAAACTTTCTGGATGCGTCTGACTAGTGAAGTTGTATACTAGCTGCGTACACCAATGTTTATTGCATAAGCTTGACTAAGTAATTTGCGTCTATATTGGTATACACTGCTCGGAGACGGTTTTAATATCATCCATTAATCTAGCAATTAACAAAAAAGTCGTTTACATTATTTGTTTTCTCCGAGTTCTGTTTTCTCCTGGTTGTTTAGTATTATTCATATAAGTAGGTGTTGTATATTGTAATGGACACCAGTGAAATTTGGTATGTTGTGAGATTGTTGAGGAAAAATTTGAAGATTTTGCGTTTGGCTTTTAAAATATATCCAAAGAGATGTGTTATATATTTTTACTAAGGGGTTTTGTGTATGCAATTATTTGTAGCGTCTGTATATAGTTTAATAGTGTTATTTACTTGTGCCGCAGTTAGGATTGCAGTTGAATGATGGGATTTCTTATAATGGGAACTGGATATGTCTTATTTTCTAAAACTGTCCACATTCATATGTTATACGTAATTATTGTCATAGGTTACGGCTACTTTTATGCACCACCTGTTAATGCAATAAAAATTGGTCATTTTTGTGTACTAATAAAGAAGAAGCTAATTATAAAATACTTGAATCATATTTTTCTAAAAAGGGATTTAAGCCGTTACTTACTTTATTTGGTATTAACTTTTATTTATTTTTTCACATTTTTGATTTAATATTAGTTTTTAAGGCTTAAACAAGAAATAAAAGTTATTTAAAGTCTATATTTTGTGATACATTCGAATCATTTTTCAATTATGTTATATTTACGTATGAACTTAATTAAATATTTTTTGCATGGAAAAAAGCTTTTATATTTAAAATTCCATAAACGTTGATGATTATGTATGAATTTAATATTTTTTAAATAAGTATATTTTTGTATTCAAATTATTATAAATTTATCTGTGAAGTTTCTAATATTAGACAAGTAATTTATAGTTACTATTAGGAGGTAGATAATATATCATATTTTTTAATATCTACGAAAGAATTTATAATTTTTGTTTTAATATACAATGTAAGTTTTAATACTTATATTCTATTATTTCAAGATTCTATTTTAAAATATTAGAACTACCTAGCACTAAGTTCCATTTTGTTATACAATTACACAGATGTCAAGTAATAAACTACTTTGTCAGAATACATGAGTAGCAAAAAATATATGTAAAGGTTAAAAATACATAATGTTAATTTAATTTAATTTTTTTATCAAATTTGATAAAGTGATGTTAGATATTTTTATTTCTCAAACGTAAGGTTAGATGTTTTGAATGGTTAGCGGGTTTGAGGAACATCATGCTTATTATAATATAATTTAAGAGTTTTAACTATACGAGTATGTAGTACATACTATGTACTGGTATGTGTCGTAGATATTATTGTGTCGAAATCAGTGTAAGATCAATAATAATAAAATTTTTTCCTCAGTTAAAAATGGTGGAATAAAATAATTAAATTATTGAAATGATTCTTCTTTTATTTCAATATTATCAAATCCATATCCCTCCCAAAATAATTTTATCAAAATGTATATCGGTTGGCTTAGCTGTAAAAAAAGGAGACTATTTTCATTATAAATAATGATTAATAAATAATTATTTAATATTGTCATTTGTTAGTTATTGCTCCGAATAAATATTTCTACTGTGATAATAATTAAACATTTTTATTAAAATTTTTCCATTATTAATAGGATATATACATTATAATAGCAAATTTATGTTTCAAAAGTATGGTAACAGAATAAGTTTACTTTTTACTGGTTTCTTCTTCTTTTTGACTTGGAATAAATCTAACAAATTTTATTTGTATTTAAATATTATATAATTATAAATACGATAATAATTATTAAAATTGTGAAAATTAGGAAGTACATTCTAATTTGATTACATTTATATTAATAATAATAATTATTTGAGGTTTTTGACAATAAATAATAACATAATTATATTATTATTATTACTAATTATTATTGATTGTTGTATGAATTACATGTGTTCTAGAAAAAAAGGAAGGTTTTATTTCTATGAATTTTTATTTAATCTTAAATAATCCTTATTTTAAATGGTTCAATCATAATTTTTCTTACTGTGCAATCAATACTCAATAGAATCTATATTTTTATAATACTAACTACCTTTAACTTTAAAAATGGTTACGTTTCAAGTAAATTCCATTTTTCATGTGTGTGTGTAAATATTTATTTTTACCTATTATGCTTTATTCTGATATTTATTATTATTATTATTATTATAAAGTGCATCCTTTTCTGTATGGTTTGTTGAATATATTTGTGTTTACAAATAATCTTTTTTCAATATACGCGTGCCAAGCATTACATTTTTCGCCAATAAGCATTTTCAATGCGCACATAAATATGTCAGCCATTACACTCGCTGTTGCCAGGATAGTAAATATTTTGTCGTTATGTGGATTTTGCCAGGGGAAATACAGGAAAAGTGTTGGTAATTTTCTTTTCGATAAAAATAGTTAGATGTTATGCTTTTATTCTTTTGAACCAAATATTATTATCATATTATTAAACTGCCGTTCAACCGAAATTATGGTTGTATTTACATTAAGAGTTTCTACATTCTTTAATAATATTAAAATAATTTTTGATAGCCATAAAAAATATTTTGGAGAAAGTTAATAATTTATATAAATGATGATCTAGCAATGTTGATAATTTGTAATGATTGATCAATTATAATTCCTGTAAAGTGAAAATAATATTATTTCAAGTTTAAAATTATACATGTTTAATAACATTCTTTAGATTTCTAAAAACAGAATATTTTAAAAATTGATTAAATAAAAGCTAAAGTTAAAACTTTGTATTTAATATTAAACAACTTTTAATATATTTTTGTAAATAGTTAGAGATGAACATAATATAGTATAGTTGGTGACAATATGAAGATGTTTGTTTCTGCTATTGTTTTTATGTATTGATTTCAACTAAATATTTTATTTTACGTGTTGTTGAACATTTATTTAAATTATATGGACGTATTTCATTTTGATGTATTCTATATACAGTATACACCATGGCATGTGTATAATGAATGTCGACATGATTTAAATTTATTTAAAGACAGTTTGTTAATATTTTTATGTATGAAATTAAGACGGATTGACAGTTCATGTGTACATTTTAGTATTTAAACAAAATATAAACTCACTTTGTTTTCGGTGACATATAGATAAATTTTTTTTATGTATAATCTAGTGCAGAATCGTAAATGTATATAATTTATATTATTTAAAGACGTTAAATACGTTATAAACAATTCCTAAAAAAAACTTTTTAAAAAAAATATGTATTTTTTCTATAATTTTATTTAAAACTTTTATTAGATTATTAGAAATATTTGGCATTTATCTTGATAACATATATTAATTATTTTTTGAGATAAAGTTTAATTTACTAGCCATTTGTGAGTGTTTTATAACGACATTATAGCCTTTGCGCAAGTGTTTATCGTTCACACGGGTTGGGGTTGCCCTAAATTTCCGCTAGTAAAAGAATGAAGATATAGTTCAAGCAAAAAGTGATGGATATTGATCTCAATTCTCCTGGGATGGATGAAATTACAGGTCAAAGAGTTGATGCTTTTTTTCTTTCTAAACATAAGAAATCACTAATGAACTCTTTATATATACTTATATATTGTATTGATTTTATAGTTTGAAATACACTTAGCTTATTTTGAAATA